GGGCGAAGGTTGGGAACTGCTGTGCAGGAGCGCGTCATGCGGCGATCAAAACCGTGGGAGGTGTTGTGATCACAAAGGAGAAAAGCTGGACTATGAGCACGCTTTCTGAAGAACTTAAAGGAGCCCTGTATTTAAGTTACAAGAATATATCATCTCATCTCAGACATTACTTTCTTTCCTTTGCTCTTTTCCCCGAGGATCATGGGTTTTGTGAAGAGGATCCTGTTAGGTTCTGGGTGGCAAAGAGATTTGTAGAAAATGATGGTAACAACTTGCTTGAAGAGACCACCAAAGAGTTTGTAAGAAGGAGCATTCTACAGCCGAATCCGGGGCTTGAAAGTATGAAAATTAGTAGGATGCATGTGATCGCTTGCTCAGTTATTGGAAGGAGATGATTGTACCTATGGAGATGCTCGTGAAATAAAATTCCCTACCCTGCAAAAGCTTCGTGCGTCGTCTATCGATAACAGAGGAAGGGAATGTGGCAATGATACCTGGAAGTTGTATCAAGGCAAAACTGCTCGAGGACTTCGATGCTCTTCAAAGGCTCTACAACCGTCCTAAATGAATCCTTGGTAAGACCTCCGCTTTTGCAATTTGAGGTGTCTCGATCTTTTTATGGCACCGATAGAACATTTACCGGCAGGGATTGATTATGAAACTGAAACAGCTGAATTTTCTCTCAGGGTTCGTGATCGGTGAGCGAAGCAACGTTGGTAATCAGATGATGAGTGTTTGTGATTTGGAGGAGTTGAAGGGTCTTGATCGGCTCAGACACCTCAGACTAGATAGGCTGGAAAGGTACTCCTCTAGTGGGACTTCTCACAGATTACGTCTCTCCTGCACATCCGCTGTCGAACGACAGACATGTCTTTGGCAAATGTAAAGCCTCCACCAGGATTGGATGATCTTATAATCGTTGGGTTTTTCGGCCGAAAAAATCCAAGCTGGATGCAGTCATCGTCTTTGGCAACTTGTTTTCGTTGCTTGACGTGCATGACTCTGAAAAATCTTGCATCGTGCTTGCAGCTTCCACCGCTGGGTGAGTTGCCGCATCTGCAACGTCTGAAAATTAGTGGAAGATCATAAATCAATCTCCGTTCATCCAATCTTCTGAACTCTGCTACGGATCCCAACAATTATCAATACAAAGGCGTAAATATGCTACCACCTACTTGCCTTTCGAGTCGGAGTCTTGCAAGGTTAAGGGATTTGGTGGGAAAGCTGATATTGGATTATGGGAGGAAGATCCATCTTCATTAGCCAGAGATGAAGAGGCCATCTTACCACTGGGGAATCTGAGGAGCAAGTGTTAGGTTTCACCGAAAAAAGAATCTCCACAATAATTAGAATGGTTAAGGTGCACGTTGAAGAACTAGAATTGTCATTGATCATGTTGACTGTTGTTGTGGTTCTTGTGCATATCTCCCACAACACTGTAGAAGCTATACATACTTGGCACATTACCTGCAAATTTGATTTAATTATTAGAATTTTAGCAGGAGGGAATTGTTGGTGCTCAGCTGGTGAGGTGCTAATTACCAAAAGAACTCGAGATGTTACCTCTCCTGGGAGTAGGAGACTTCTGCGGCCATCGTGCTCAAGCTAACCTCGAAATCATGAGACTTTTGAAGGTACACATCACTGCAACACATGCAGCCTCGCTCTGCACTCTTCATCAATGCTTGTTCATTTGTGTTTCACCTTGAAGGCCGCAAATTGTCCTGCGTAAATGACTGGCACAACAATCTGAATCCGTCTGGAAAAGCCACTGAAGCCCTTTAAGTGCTGCCTGCGCTATCAATGCTCAGCTCCAATGTCAGCAAATCCAGAGCAAACAGTATCAATGAATTATTGGGAATGTGATGCCAATCGACAATGCCTTGTCAAATATTACCTCAAGAGTTTCAGATTCTTGGGATCATCATCCCTATCTAGGATCCAATTCAGGGAACTTGAAAGGTCCTTCACCATCCTTCAGTGCCCATGTTGGAGTCTGGCAAATGTCCTAATGTCTGTAAAATCGAATTAGTTTCATGAACAGAACAATCCAAGTCCTGATTGACTGCATAGTGGGATGCTAGTAAATCTTACTGAACGGTCAACAGGCTGACAAAAGTATGCAGAGGCTTTCTGATATCAGATCAAAAGTTGGTCCAGTTTAGTTTTGTGACATTGGAAGATTGTCGACTCATATATGAACCTAGCTCATGCTCTTGATGCAGAATCAATCCAATCAGCACAAACCTTGTCTAAACCAGTCAATGCCAGTAGGTACTGGATAGAACAGCTGATCTTGTGGCAGAGTCTTGTGAGCAGTGGCTGCTAGTTTGTCATTAATGCTGCCATCAAACAGAAACCAGTTCTGGCTGTTTGACTGATTGACCTGATGACCTCAATCCTGCTCTGAATCATTGCCCCCCCAGTCAGGCAGAGAGTGATTAATTCATCTGTTAGTTTCCAATTGGATGAATGGGAGAATCCATTCCCCATGCATATCATGACTCCCCATTTGACGGAATCCAAGACACTGGGTCCCAGTGGACAATATCCATTGCTAATGTCCTGCAAGAATAGACAAAAAGCTATGCATATGGGACATCCAGTTAGTTAATAACTGATATTTAGTTAGCTCTGTTACTTGCCTTTCAAAGTATCTATACCAGTGTGCATATCCCATGAATCTACTGAACATGGCACAGAAGGACATGAAATCATAATGTGGATCTGATATGCTTACCAGAACATGAATCCTGCCTTCATTTGTTGCAGAGTTCATGTCTTACCTAAGAACTTACTCTCTTTTTTTTTTTAACTACAACTTGGGATCAACACTGCAGCATTGTAGAAAGCCAGATTAGTTCACAAACAACAATCAAGTGTGTATTTGTATAAGCCACAGATTTAGATTATGCCATTACTGCCAAGACTTGAGCGTGTGCTTATAGTCGGCTTCATAGGCTTCTATTATTATCATCTTCTTGCTTCCTCCCAATAAAATGTAACACTTTCCATAGCATCTGTGGGGAGAGTGAGAAGATCACCACCCATCCATTCAATTGGATGACGCAATCATGGGACCTTTTGCTCTTCATATTTGACAAATCCTTTGACTCGTTGATCTTCCCAATACAAAAAGCCCTGTGATCACTGTCATCAGGGAAGAGACTGCAGGGTAACGGGTACATGACTTGGCCTTACTCCAATTCCAGTCATATGCTGTTGTTTCCTTCTATGCTGCTCTCAAAAGATTCCCTCATTGTAAACCAACAATGTCACAGTGTGCATCTCTCCAACACATGGTCATCTCTTGAAATGATGGATGGATTCTCTAGCTAGGGTGCCGAGGATGATGCTCCAGGTTGTGCCAACACCAGGGACCGGCAAGTTTGGACTAGTTCAGATGTGACACAGAAAATGCTTTGTTGAGCCTGCAGGTGTTGAATCTGCAACTAATATCATACAAAGTAAGCATTCATGCATGGATATTTATTAACTGAATGAATTAATTGATCAGAGAAAGAATTCCATCAACAAAACTGATCAAACCATGCTAGTTATACAATTAATATTACAAAATAGTCATAGATTTGTGTTTTTTAATCCAAATTGCAATAGTCATACAATTGATATTAACCATTCATCAACAATGCAAGCAAGTATACTCATTAGTTACAACAGAAAGACAACTCTTCCTTGTCACTTCATATTATTAAATCTAGAAGCAGAACAAAATTCAAGTCCTAGCTCTGGTCCAATGGTCTCTGATTCTGCAGTATACAAATTGTACAAAACAAATCCATCCGACTTTGGTAGGAGAGATATTTCCTAGGTTTGTGTAGCCCAACTACAAGCCCTCACACCAATAAGAACCAGAGTTTCATGTTCATCATGACTGATGCACAAATCTAGATGTCTATATCACATACAATGCCAAAAGACCTATCATAGACTATGGAAAGAGCTCCTTGTGCAAATATAAGTGAGAAACAAACAAATAAGCCCACTTCTCTCGCAGAAGTGAAAATAATATTTATCTCTGTGGTACAATGAAATGTGAGAGTGCAGTGAAAGGAGGGGAAGAGAGATACAAAGAATGAAGGCAGAAAGGGAGAAAGAAATTGAGTGGGATGAAATTTCATGGGAGTTGAGGTGGGTGTATCTGCCCTCAAGAGTTATTCTAATGTCCCCAAGACTCACCATTATTCTAGGGTCTGCATGAAGCAGGGATCAATGAAAAGCTGTCAAGCAAAAAGCCAGGCATGCTTTCTGAAACCTTCCATGCATCTGGGACTTTTAAAGAGGAAGTGACAAGACAGATTACCAAGTGAGGAGAGGGAACAGAAGAGGAATGTCTGTATGAACAAAAATTAGATATAAAAAAGAAGTAGATTGGTGTTTTATGGTTCCTAAACCTTTTGGTTTGATTGTGTAGGTGTTGGAACATGAAGGGAAATTGGGGTGGCTTACAGCTCCATGGGAGTTTGGGCTGAAAAATGCAAAACCAAAATCTCCAACAAGCTGGACAAACAAGCCACTTGAATTTAATGTAGTCCTCAGCAGAATTTTTTTTTTTAACTGTACTGAATTACGTTGCAAGTAGAATGATAGAAACACGAAGAAACATGATGTTGATTTTGGTCATGGGTTAAGAGGGAGTGAGGCTGGTTTTTGGTCACCAGACGTAGGCGCAATCTAGGTCTTTTCTTCGCCCATCGCGACGGTCGTCCCTAGTCCCGTCTCCTCCCCATGTGGTCAAAGTCGCCGCAGCTGGAAAGGGAATTCCGGGCGCCCCTCTCCCCACTCTCTCTGGCGCCTTTACACTGCCGGCACAAAATCCTATGCTGCGCCCCAAACAGAACAAAAAGCAAAACAAGAACGGCGACGCGTCCGGCATTTAGGGAATCAGTAGGGGTAACAAAGTCATTTGATATCCCACCCCTGCTTTTAAAGGGTCATTGGCGGGAGCCGCGATGAATGCTGTGCACAGGCATCGCGTGCGCAAGTGAGAAGAGCGAGCAGGCGAGTTAAGAGGAGGGAGGAGTTGGAGGTAGGACGCGGGAAGGGCCTGATATCTGACCTGAGAGGAGCGGGCGGAGCGTCGACGGAGAGAGTGAAGGGAGATGATGCCCGGCGTTGTCGGCCACGCAGCTGTCGAGGAGCGCCGCATCGAGCGGCAGATGGGGTGCATGGACGGGTTCCTCCAGCTGTTCGACTGCCACCATATTACCACCGGGAAGCGCCACTTCGCCACCCGCCACCTCCATACTACTCCGGTAAAAATCTGAGAAGAAAGTGATGTTATTTTTGTGCGTGTTTTTAACCTGTTTTTTCTGATAATTGGATGGCAAATCTCAGCTTGCTGAATCAACGGCGCCGTCGGAGACATCGGATGCTTCGTCGCCGTCGTTCTTCAAGAAGAGCCATCCGCCCCTGTCGTCGCCGGAGCCTTGCCCTTCGTCGCTCGAGAGCCGCTTCCTGGTGGATACACCAGCGCGTTTGTCGCATCCTCTGCCACTCCCCGTCTTTGAGGTGAAGGACGGGGTGATGAGCTCCTGGAAGCTCCGGGACACTCCAAGGCTCTCTCTCGATAGCCGCGCAGTGGTCGACGGGAAGGGAAAGCTCGGCCTGGGCCCGCTGGAGATCCGGACTGCGGTCCGGGTGGCCTCTGCGAACCAATCTGACTCCTCCGAGGTGGCAGAGCATCGGCGTTCCCCGAGTGTCGTCGCGCGGCTAATTGGGGTTGAAACCCTGCCAAGCACCGGCAGCGTAGCTGAAGCGAAGCCTGAACGGGGTGAGCTCCGGCGATCGGCTTCCGAATCCGGGGTTCCCAGAGATGCACCGTACTACAGTTTTGTGGACGCGTGCTCGTTCCGGGAGCCATCCCCACAGCCTCTCGAAGCCGTCCCGATGTCTGCCGAGGTGTTCTTTAAAACAGTTAATCTGGATCAGTTCAGGATCAGTGACGCGAAGAAGCTTGTGTCGGCGCCGAGACCTATTCCCCTCACACCGCTCCAGCGAAGGAGCTTCTTCGACGCGGAGGACTTATTCCCGGAGCCGAAGCGGTCGGGAATGCTCTATGGCGAGATCGAGAAGCGGCTGAGAATGCGAGGGATCGACGAGCCGACGAAGAACTTGGAGACTCTGAAGCAAATCCTCGAGGCGCTCCAGCTGAAGGGGCTCCTCCACTCCAAGCCGTCGGCACATCGCACCAACGGCCGCATTAATCTCATCTACGACTTCCAGACCGGCGCCCCGGTCGTCATGATGAACACGGCCTCCAAGCCCCCGCGGTTTCCGTCGAGCGAGCCGCCGCCGTCCAAATCCAGCGCCGGTTGCCATAGCGCTTCGCCAGTCTGGCGCAAACCGGCGATGGTAAATCGGAGTATTATTATAGCAAACGAGCGGACGGTGCATCGAAGGCCATTAAACGCAGCGGTCAAGAAGAACCTGCAGCCCCAGCGGTGGATCTCGACCGTTTGTTCACCAACGTCCACCCCGAAGAGGACAGGGCCGGAACTTCTGGCCACCGGATCACCGAGGAGCCGAACGCCGAGGGTGACTGCGTCTCACAAGGAGCCGGTTCACCCACTGGCGAAGGACAATACCTCCACCACCATCTCCGAGAGCGGCATAAGCGCCTCCTCTCCATCAGGCTTCGAGGTACGCCAACGACTTGTTACTCGCAGTACATATTTTTCTTGATTACAATTTATGGAACTTTTAGTTAAATGGAGGGTGGGTGATACAATGCAGAGATCGAAGGCGGACAACAGATCAGGCCGAAGTTTGTTGGAGCGATGCGATAAGCTGTTACACAGCATCACGGCGTTTGCGCGAGCGGATCAGGTCGCCGCCGTCGACCAGCAGCCGAGCCCCGTATCCGTGCTCGACTCGTTGCCTTACCTCGGCGAGGACGTGTCGCCCTCGCCCCTCGCCAAGCGCTCCATCGATTTCAAAGGTAAGAAAACAATATATATATATATATATATATATATATATATATATATATATATATATATATATATATATATATATATATATATAT